AATCCACGTCACTCGTGAGACAAGCCACTAGTAGTACGGTCAAACCAATCAAGAAACTGTTACAAAGATTGGACAAAAACGGTGCCGCCGAGTGGTTCACGTACAAAAAATGATTGGGGTGGGCTAGTCAGCTTGCAGTTTGAGCTTGGACTTGAACGCTGAGCACGGCACTAAGTCACAACAACGTCCAAATCTGTGAGCCAAAGCGCCCTATGCAACCTGACCATGTTTCAGCCAAGTCCTGATCAACCTCCACGCCAACTCCAAGACGCAGGCCTCGTAGTTGGCCCAATCTTCGTGGCGCACTGTCTCCGGGAAGGGTCGCAGGATGCCACACACCTGGCGGAAGTTGACATCATTCTTGCAACAACGTGAGAGGTGAAGCATGTCACACCACACCACAACCTTTGTACTGTCTCACTGCTACAGTGTCACAGCATCTGTCAAATTGTACCATTGTGAAATTTACATGCGCTCAACATCTGTAGGTCCGTCATTGTCAAGCCAGAAACAGTAACAGTCGGTCGAAGCCAGGTGCCTCCTCGATGATGAAGCTCTTTGGGTTTTGCTCCCGCAGCATCTGCAAGCACGCCAGGGTTGTCTGAGACTCCGGCCTGAGAGCCAAACACATTCAACAGTTGCCCTTGTCAAGATTGTCTAGATGCGTTTGCCGGCCAACCCAACATATAAAGGGTCATCACAGACTTGTTCTTGCTCTAAACTAATTTCCAACTGAAGGTCCACTTTCACCGAGCCCCCAACCCTGACACAAGAGCTGCAACACGGCATGAGCAAGCAACAGTGGCAACTTGGCTGCAAAAACACAAGCAAGGGAATTGCAAGCATCTGGAATCTGAATCTCTTGGCTTCACTTCAGGAGCGACTAAACCCAACCAAGCCAAGTTGCTCCAAAAAGGGGTTGTAGTCAGGCTTGCGGGTCTTCATGTTCAATACTGAGTACAGCGGGCAGGGGATGCCCATGATGCACATCCCGGCAGCGTCACCGGAGTCAGCATCCTTGGGTGCAATGCAAATCCCGGAGTACAACCCAAGCGCTCACACAGTGTCAAAAGCAAGCAACATCTACTTCACACCTCACACCTATCTGACCTATCTGCATCTGCTGAGGGCTAACAAATGTGTTTCGCGCGGCACGTACTATAGGGAGCTGCCACACGTGCCTACTGCCTACTGACTCACTATGCAAGCAGGCGACGCGCGTGCTGCGGCTGGAACAGCTGGCCAGGGAAGCCTCATGCTCAGATTGGCAAACGTAGCAGAAGCCGCGCTTCTCTTTGACGTCGCTGAAGAAGTGTTGCCCTGAGCCCGCGGTGCAATAGCACGCGCAACCGGACGTTAGTAACAGTGAACGTGACTTGTCAGTATCCAATGACTCAACAGTACAGTATCTGGCATCCGTGTCAATGTCAATCGCGGGACAGCAAGTAAGCGGCCACTCGTGTAACACAATCACAGAATCACAGGGGCTGAGCAGAATGGCCTGTCTACTACCTACCGCGTGGAACCCACTGCCATGATCTGAATTGTCTGAACATTTGACACTCGTTCATTGGCGGTTTGGAGGTCTTGCTTTGACCTTGCTACACTACCCGGTGACCAAGAGGCAATCTCCGTGCCGGAGGCACCACTCGCGGCATTTGCGATCCTTCTCGCTGCTCCACAGCAACTCGAGGGGCAGGCCCAAAAAGTCTGATATGTGTTGCCTGGGCCAGGCGGTGAGGGGGGCTGCAGTCACAGTCTTCTTATTACAGAGCTATCTGTTTCCTTCTCACCGCCTTCTTCTAAAAGAAATTGGTCTCTCAGTAAACTTGCAGCATGGGCCCAAGTGTGACATCCATTGGACCTTTACTGGCTCTTCAAGTGTTTCGCCAAGGCTCGAGACATAAGCCGCTGTCCCAGCGCCTTCGCAGCTTCCAACAACGCAAAGCCTCGGATGGGCAAGGGTCCCAGACAGGGGACTCAACCGGGCCATACCACAACCACAACCAATAACCACAACCAATAACCGTGAATCAGGGGTGCAGGTTTTCGATATGCAAACACGTCACGAAACAAAGCAACCCGATCAGTTTGCAAACGGCTTGACATCAAAGTGGGACGCCTGAAGATCAAGACGCGACGCAACTTCAGTGAGGTCTCAACACCCCTGCAAGCTGGAGTAAACTGAAACCACCAGCATCAAAACGCGACACAACTCTTTTGAGTTGCCAACCCCTTGAAAAGTTGCTCCCCTCATACGTCAACCGTCAACCGTCAACCCCTTTGAAAAGCAACCCCCTCCAGTCTATGAGCGCAAACCCCGTCGCAATCTGAAGCTCAAACTGTTTCCGGCTCCAACGGTAGCTGCGCAGTCGTTGCCACAGGCCACATGTCTATGTCTGGGAGACTTTGTCGCTGCTGGCTAGCACTCGCCCCGGCTGCATTTCTGTGTGTGTGTTGTCGGCAGCAAGCAAAATAGCCAGTGACAAGAAACCATCGAATCAAATTCACTCAAATTCTTCAATTTAGCATTTGGCTGGATGGTTCCACTGGGCGAAGGCAAAACACGCATGTCGCATGTGACATACAGGTGCTGCGACAGACATACAATCAGCACACAAATACTTTGCCAGCTGCGTCGAATCACAACTGTGCACCGCCGCGCACCGCGTCCGATGAACCAGAGGATCCGAGCTACAAGCAAAACCTGGGCCTAGTCTTAACCTTGTCTGAGCGATGCGTCATGTAACATGTATTTCTTGGTGGGAGTCTTGCTTACCTTGCGATTACCCACTCCAGGTTTTGATTGCACCTCGTCTCCAAACTACAAGTGGGGAGCATTGTAAGTGATGACAATCATGGCATATGCTATCAAATCACCCCGTGTCACACAGGCCGCAGATGCAAAATGCATCAGTCACCTGAACCAGCCTCCGGGCCCAGCGCACATCCGAATGCCTCAAAAGGGATCAGTGCCATTCTCAATGTGAGTGGTGGCCGCGTTGAAGCTGTCAACCCATTGAAGACCCTCTGGCCAGGCGACAACCTCTGTAAGGTGCTTGAAAGTGCGGGAAGCGTGAGCAAGGCCCATTGCCAAACGCATGCGCCAAAGGACCCTGGGCCCATCTGCCAACCACTCCTGGACATGCTGAACAAACACTGCCGGAGGGTCGCGGCTTGGAAGAGGTGCTGTGCGCCTTCGCTTTGTGGTCGGGCTCAAAGTCTGACTCGTCTCAAACCGCTGCGCCCTCTCGCTGATCTTGGCCACCTCTGGGAGCTGGCAGTTCGTGGGTTTGCCCAGCTGCTTTGCCACATAGTAGCGGACGAAGTGCTTGCAAAGCAACTCAGCCTTGGCCAGACTGATCTCCAGGCCCCCAAGATCGCGATCAAACCATGGTGCCACCGAGTGCAGCCCTCGGATTGCACAACCCGCCACCGTGGCCAGCTTGCTGGCTGCACAGATTTTGTCGTAAATGCCTTCGCACTCGTGGATCTGAACCGCAAACAACTCGGCCAGGCAAGGGCACTCGCTGTAATCGCCGCTCATTGAAAAGCGAAGTCGAGGCTGCAAGGAAGAGCAGGAAAGTCAAAAAAAGCTCGCTTGAGCAGTGGCTGAAAGACATGTGACATGTCCCCTTGGGTCTAGGCCAGAGTCTGAGCTGAAAAAGCAGATTGTCACTGTTGCGCCTTTTGCTGCCAGGAGGCGGCGCGCCGTTCTGCATCTCCCCGGGCTGAATGCCGGCCAGCTTTGCATACCTTTGCGTTGGGACACCACCCTTCCAAAAAGGAAACCCATCTGCCAACAATAACGATGCTGTGATGATTGGAGGGCCGAAAGGATAACTCAATTGCGGAGGACCAGCCACTGTGCAACTGAGCAACCTGGGCACCCACTGTGTTGGAAGCAGGGTGGGCTCGTCGGGCTCGTTGGCCTGGGAAGGAAACGAAGTGGTGGGCGGGCGCCGCAAGCATGTGCTGACCAGACACTGTGTCAACAAACCTATCAAACCGAGCCGCGCTGCCTATCCTAACCCAACAAAACAAAACTTTGGCTCATGTTGGCTCATTGTCTCTGCCTTAGAATGCCTGCATCAAAGGTTGGCTCAACTAGCTCAGCGCTGGGGCGCCAGGCAGTGTCCTGGGAATCTTCCTCATCTGCCATGGCAGCAAGGTCTGGCCCTCTCGATCTTGAATCCTGAAGCCTAAAGCCTGAACCCATTTCCTTTCCATCAAACTTCTTTCTCTCTTGTGTTCACTCCTCTCTCCTGCCATGCCATGGAGCCATCAGGATACCAGCAGAGGCACAGGCCACATGTTCTTCACATGGCTCACTACCCAAGGTCTCAGCCCCATCCCACACATGCTCCTTTACATGGCTTACTACCTTAGTCAGTCAAATGGTTCAACGCCATTCCAAATCAACACGTCATTTTGTGACAGAAACCCCCCTGGATAGAGGGCATGGCCCGAATTAATATCAGGGGCAATAAAGAGGGGGGAGGTTCCAAGGAATGGAATGTCCCAAGTGGAAACATGGCCCAAACATAAGTCCCAAAATTGCAAAAATGAGCTCCAGAAGGGGAAACATGAACCCCAGAAGGGACACGTCACTTATTTTTGGCGACTAGAAATAGGGACCAAAATGACATGCCCGAAGGGAGGTTCCCAGGGATGGAATGTTGAGCGGGTTTCGTAGACTACTTGATCATTGCAAAAGATGAGGTTCGTTTTTGTTGAGGCTCGTTTTTGTTGAGGTTTAAAGGGCAACCAAAAAAAACACATTTTGGTGAGTCCCCCTATTTGACGTTTGCACTTGGATGTCTTTGCGGAGGCCTCAAAGCCTCACAACTGCAACGCAGAAAGGCCCTTGGCTAGGTCCCCCAGTAGCGCCCTTTTACCCTTTTGGGGGGGAGGGTTCCCCTACTAAAATAGACTACAGCAAAACCTCTCTACTGGAGGACCTAGTTGGTGTTTCTTTTTCGGCGGGGGCTTCGGGCGAGGTGAAATCAAGCAGTTCGACAAGAGCGGAGGCATGTTGGAATCCATGGGCGTGCGAACCCCGGCCAACCAACGTGCCTCAGAAGCAAGTGGCAAGAAGCACTCACTTCCTGAGTTCATGAAGTTTAAGCCTTTTGGGAAGACCATTTTAGTGGTAAATATAAAGTCTGAACATTTTTTGGGCCATCCACTCAGCCAGTGAGAGCAACCGGGCCTTCATCGGTTTCTGGCTGAACTTTAGAACTTGGGAGAGCGGTCGCTTAGACATGTTTGTCCCACGGTTGGTCCATTTGAGGTTTCTTGTTTGGAACACCATAGAAGGTGGGCAAAGTCCAACCAGTTCGGACGTTCTCCTGTTCTTCGGCCAAGCCACTCAGGAGGGTGAGCGACGCAAGTTTGTTTGGTGGTTGATATATTTTTACCTTGTTCGCGAATAGACCAGGTCTTAGTCAGCCCTCACTTTGCCCTTTGGGATGGTTGAAAGACCTCTTGGGTCAATGTCAGATAAGTTTCTCCGTGAGGCGAGATGCAAGAATGGGGCAACTATGCAACCCTAGGCTTGGCTAGAAACAGGGAGCCCAAAGTTTTGCGGGCATCGCCAAGGCATTTTGTCAGCTGGTTGTGTGTGTCTTTTTTTGGTGGGGGGGCCTGACAAGGAAATTGTGAAATTGTTTAAGGTCACGGCGCGTTTCGAGTGGTTATGTCAAGCGCAGCATGACTTTGACGGGAGGTTTCACCACATCACGCAGCATCTGTTCGAGTCAAGCACGGCAGTCAGTGCAAAAGTTATTGATAGAAAGAACGGGAACGCCAGCTGTTTGACGCAGCACTTTTTCAGGGCTTAACATCATGTGGTTTGGATTTCGGCGCAATGACCAGCACGATCCCTACCAGAGATCAGAGGTCTGTCATACCTTGCTGCATCGCCATGCACAGAAAGGTGTACCTATACCTGCTCGCATTAGGTGCACTGCTCCAGAGTGTGAGTTGAGCACCATCTTGAATATAGGGAGCTGCGACAATGGTACACTCAAAGGAGCCTAAATTCAAAGTAACTGGTGCAATATGAGACGTTTGAACCAATGACAAACCCCGGAACACTCAAGGGGTTCCCATGAGAGGAACATTGCGGGGATCAGCCTGCAACTCTTTGTTTTTTCCCGAATGCGTAGCAAAAGGGGTCTAGGGGTGAGCATGTGTTTACCAGCTGCGTCGCGTCCGCAAGCGGTCGCTTCAGCAGGGCTCGCAGGTGGCAAAACTCCCAGCCATCCGGTTCCTTAGTTTTTTAGCCTTTTAGTGTTCAGTGGCAGTTGCTGAATTTAACCCACTAAAAGTTCTCAACTTTTAGGCCGGGATCTGAGGGCTGCCCAGATGATGTGGAACATGTTGCTTCCCGTTCGCAAAGCGCAGCCTTTGCGACCTCGCGTGTCGTCTCGCTGCGCACAGCGCAGCCTGCGCAGCGCCCTGGAAGGTTCCGCGTTTGCGTCCAAGTGGCATTTGCGATTTGCGTCTCGGGCGGTCGCTTTGAGGTGTCTAGCTTGGCATGGGTGCGCGCGTCTGCAAGAGAGGCATTTTTGTTGGCCCTGTCGTGCAATCGGCTTGTGTTGACGGGTTGAAAGATGGCCAAATTCAGCCGAAATCATTCTGCCCCCACAGCGCGCTAAATTCTGACACGCGCCGTACACGTGTCCAAGTTGGATTTCATGACTTGCGCAGTACTTTGAGCCCTTCTTGCTTCGTTTGGAGCTCACTTTGCGTGACAGGCACCGCACTTTGGAGCGCTTTGATCAAAGGTCCATGGCACACGCAGCGCTTTGGGGGTGGCTGCGCGCTGAGTTCCGCAGGCGCGGCAGACTGGAGCACGCACCAGCGGTGGAGCTCATTTGCGTGGCAAAGTCTCGTGGCAGCCGCAACACCATGCAGCTTGTTGTGTTGATTTCGTGACAGTTGCAGCACCTTGGAGGGTCGCGAGTTGAACTTCGTGACAGGCGCAGTACTTGGAGCACGGCTCGCTGATTTAGTTTTAAGGACAGATTGAGAGACAGATAGATTGATAGAGAGAGTTAGATAGAACGACACCTAGATAGATGAAAGGAAGAAATGAAATAGACAAAAAGTTTATACGCACGTAGGTATGTAGATAGACTAGTTGGATAGACAGATAGACGGACAGACAGATACATAGGTAGAGTGATAGAGAGATAGATAGATTGATACATAGGCAAACAGACTCACAAATAAATTGAGATATAGATAGGAGACCTAGGTAGATACGGAGATAGAGAGAGAGAGAGAGATCAGGTTAGATTCGGCTAGGTTTGATTAGATCAGAACAGATAGATAGATTTGGCTTGATTAGATAGAAGCACGGATAGGCAGATTAGATTAGGCTTGGTTAGGTGAGATAGGTAGGTAGGTAGAAAATTGAGGTAGACCAGTTTAGAACAGACAGCTAAATAGACTATTAGGTCAGAACAGACTAGATAGATATATTTCGGGCAGGTAGATAAACAGGTAGGTAGTTTGATAGATGTACAGGCGCATAGGTGGTGAGAATCAATTCCTTTGACTTCCGCTGCTTCTGCGCTCAGGATACACCAGCGTCGAAGAAGCGCAAGCCTTAGCGACGATTGGCCGGGCTTTTGCGTGGCCAGTCTCTTTCCAGACCCGGTGGTGCCCTTTGTTTGCTGTTGACGGTCCAAGTGAGCCACAATCAAAACGCGGGTAGACGAAGGTTAGCAAGGGGCAGTCTCAGCCGGAAATAGTTGCGGCCGCCTTTCTAAGTCTTTACATGGTTCTGGGTTCACCATTTTTGTACCAGGTAAATGATTGTGACTCAAGTCGTGCGTTTGGCAAACGTCGACCAGAGAGATGTGTTTTTTCGTGCACTTTTGGAATTGCCTTCGCCAAACATCCATCAGCACCGCTTTCCCGTAACGTAGCAGATGTGAGCGTTCGTGAAGCCTCATGATACGGCAATGGCGGTTTGTCAGAGAGTCGGCAAGTGTTTGGTCGCAAAGCTTTTGAACATGTGCACTGTGCTAATGCTCTTAAAGCGTTTGAGGGATGTTTGATCGGCGTACGTTGCTGGAAGGATTTGTTGACGTGCGCTTCCCGGAAGGAATTGTTGCTAGCCAGCTGAAAGCCACATCCTGTAAAGGTTTCCCGCGGGTACATCGAATAAAGGCAGAGGGGGCCTCATAATTGTCCAATTCGGGTGGGACACTTCAATCCGAACCCAGATTCCAGCAGTCCTGGAGATTGAACCGAATATTTGCGGCTCTGATCCTACCCCTCTTCTCATTTGCCTAGGCATGACCAGAAAACCGTTCTGTTTCGCGAGCACATGGATGAACGCCCCCCAGTCCAACGGTTCGAAAGCGGTGCTTGCTTTCCAAGCGCCTAGTCTGAGACGGATGCAACGATCCCACGAAGTTACTGGAGAACACCCCCAACGAACGTGGGTTTGTGAGCAAGCAACCTCCAAAATGGTAATTCCCCTCTTTTCCCCGTGAAGTATTTGAAGGCATTCGTGCAGATGTCCAAAACAGGGTAACCCGCTTTTTGGGATTGTGACCAACTGGACACCTGAGTCACAATCAAATCCCGGGTAGATGAAGGTGAACAAGGGACGATCCCAACCAAAAAAATGCTGCGGCCGCCTTCTAAATTCGTTACATGGTTCTGAGTAGACAAGTTTAATACCGGGTTTTGATTGTGACTCACCTCTCATTTGTTGTTGTCCGATTCTTTGACACCAGCTGCGCCCACGTGAAGCGGGGGTTCCGGATAGGACATCAAGCACCTCGAGAAGGTCAAGGCGAGAAGGGGAGATCTGACGCGGAAAAAATCGACGACCAACCCCATGACCTCCCAGAGTTAGATGTTGGCTGTGTGTCAAAAATAGGGTAACCCCCAAATGGCTTGCCCTAAGTGGAAACATGGACCAAAACCTGCGGTCCGATTCCTGGTGGTTTAATTTTGACCCTTACCCATGTGTGTTTTTCTTCCTAGGGGTAGCGGGACACGTTGTGGGTATGGGTCAAAATCAAACCACCAGGAATCGGACCGCAGGTTTTGGTCCATGTTTCCACTTAGGGCAAGCCATTTGGGGGTTACCCTATTTTTGACCCACAGCCAGATGGGTTTGTTTTTTGTTTTTTTTGTCTTCCTGGGGGTAGCGGGACACACTTGGATGGGGGGGGGGGGAAATATCGACCACGGACAACGTAAAACCTGAGTTTTATCCCCCAAAGGTAAAAGACACCTTGTTAGGCTACTTCATCATGGGTTGCTATGACCTTGATGGAGTATGTTCACTGCTAAGTTATTTCATATCCCATGTTTCCCTGCGGTGTGGCCTAAAGTCCTCAGTTCCTGGTATGTGACCTTGATAATATGGCCTTGATATTCTGATATAATGAGTACTCAGGTTGTTAACATGGCAGACATGCAGGGAATGTCGTCCCGGGACCAACAAATAATATAGAGAACAGAAAGGACCTTCCGGATGAAGAGGGGGTGGTGTTGCCAAAGGTGAAGGATACACTCTTGGGTTTATGAATCCAGCGTTCCTGTGTGAGCTTGATGATGTGACCTTGAAGCCAGGGCTTGGTGAATTTGCAGTTTCACATGTGCGGTGGCGGGGCAAGGATTGTCTTGCAGCCTGTGGTCCGGGCGAGTTTGCCTGTGCTCAATACGGAATGAGGGGTTTTAACCTGGGGAGTCCTTTAAAGCAAACCATAGGAGATGTTGTTTTTTTTCTCGGTCATTCCATTTCTCATTCGCTGAAAAGCTGCTTGTGGGTGTCCCATTGCTGTTTGACTTGTATGCAGAGAACTTGAGTGATTGCTGGATTTCCCTTGGGTGGCTTAAAACCACCCGTTGTGTTGGCCGAATTTGTATTCAGCATCAGAGAAGGGCAGTATTTTCGGAAGTAGGATGGCAAAAAATGATTAGCCTCTGGTTGGTTGCCGGAATTGGCCGTTCGAGCAAGTGCGACAGCATTCTGAGCTTGCCACGGGGGCGTTGTAACAATGATGTGTTGCAATTACCATCATTCGCACCAGAAGACTTGTCTGCGGTGGAATTGAGTTTGTTCCCAGCCATACGCAAAATTCAAAGTTCTTGGTAATTTTAGAGGCCGGAGGCACATCCCGCAGCAAGGGATCGAAAGTTGTGTTCACTTTGGGGCCAGCTTTTCTCTCCATGGGGAGTGCCCAGTTCTGCTTGCTTCACACAGTCCACGCAAGGGTCTTGGGTTTTGTCGGCCGGGTTCAACATGTTAGCGTGGACCATCTCAGTCACCCAGTGGAACTCTTGTTCGGTCTTAATTGGTTGTCCCCTTAAGCCGCAACAAGCGTGTTCCTTTCTTCCGTTGGCTCCTGGGCAAGTAGCTCCTGGTGTCTGGTGTTGCTTGGACCAAATCACAATCATGTCCATTTTCACTCAAGTGAACGGTGGCCGCCCAATCTTGGGACGTCACATTCATGAGTCATCCTGTTGGGAATTCAGTAGGCTTTACATTTTTGACAAGTCATGTTTTTTCCCCCTTTTGGCTTTCTTTTTTTAAAGGGTGTCCGTTTGAAATAACCAGCCGACAAAGAGTGCCATGTGTTTTTTTTTCGCACAGAAATCCACTGGGGGTCGCTGCGGGCGTTGCTCTTTCGTGTTGCGCTTTTTTTGCTGGAAGGACCCGCACAAGTTGAACCTGAACTGCTTCGCGGTGGACTGGGGATCTAGGCGAATCGACGAATCGACTGCCACCGAGTCGGCGAATGGGTGATTCTCTCGTTGCAAAAGCGAGGGCGGTGGACCACTGGGCACTTTGGTTGCCCTTGGGCGAATGTCAACCTGTTGCTTTTAGGTCCCCCTTGGTCCATTTTGCGTGGGTCACGGCGGCTCAACTTTTTATCTCTCTGCGGCGTTGGCACTTGAGGTGGGCTCCATCGGTTCGGATCGAATCTCACTTGAGGTCATGAACTTTAGACTTTTGGGGAAGACCATTTTAGCGGTACATATAAAGTTTGGACTTTTTTGGGACCATCCACTCAGCCAGCGAGGAATTGTACCCCATGAAAACCAGAAAAGAAAAACCATCGATTTTTGCGAAACGGCCACCTATGCTTGCAAGAGGATGGGATGCGATTGTTTTAGTTGTTTGAGGTGGGAGGGGTGGGAAGAGGTCGTGTTACTTTTTAACAGGCAATCTATGTCACCCTCTTACCTTGGTGGCTCCCAGCCATCTCCTTTAGTGTTTAGTGGTAGTTTCCATTTCACCCACCAACAGTTCTCAACTTTTAGCGGGGGATCTGAAAACGGGCAGCCCAGTTACGTCGAGGCTCATGGACCCCCAAAAGGCCAAGCGGCATTGGCATGGCCGGCTCCGGGCATCTCCGCTTTGGCACTTCGGCAGATTCCCACCTTCCCAACCATTTAGTCCGAATAGGTGTTTTTTTTTTGCCGGGGTTTGGGGTGTGGGGGGGGGGGGCAGCCCTTTTGTGTTTGTTTATTTGTTTGTTTGTGTGTTTGTTTGTATATTTATTTGTTTGTTTGTTTGTTTGTTTGTTTGTTTGTTTGTTTGTTTGTTTGTTTGTCTATTTGTTTGTCTACGTGTTTGTTTTGTTTGTTTGTTTGTTTGTTTGTTTGTTTGTTTGTTTGTGTGTTTGTTTGTTTGTTTGTTTGTTTGTCTGTTTGTGTTTGTCTGTGTTTATTTTGTTTCTGTTTGTCAGTGTTTAGTTTGTTTGTTTGTTTGTTTGTTTGTTTTTTTGTTTGTTTGTTTGTTTGTTTGTTTGTTTGTTTGTTTGTTTGTTTGTTTGTTTGTTTGTCTGTTTGTGTTTGTCTGTGTTTATTTTGTTTGTGTTTGTGAGTGTTTAGTTTGTTTGTTTGTTTGTTTGTTTGTTTGTTTGTTTGTTTGTTTGTTTGTTTGTTTGTTTGGTTGTTTTGTGTTGTTTGTTTTGTTTGTTTTGTTTGTTTGGTTGCGTGTTTGTCTGTGTTTATTATGTTTGTTGGTTTGTTGGTTTGTTGGTTTGTTTGGGGGGGAGTAGCCCTTTTGGGCAAAGGGGGGTCCGCCTATTTTGACTACTAAATAGAAACTTGAGAAAGGTGACTTAATATGATCATGCAAGATCCCCGCAACAACGTATGAAGGTGAAGATTATGGAGTTCTTAAGGGAGGGGGGTGTTACGGGGGGGGGTAAATTTGAGTAAATGGGTGTGGACTAGGGAGCCCTAGGGAGGCCTAGGGTTCAAATCCTGAATCCGGCTCAGCCCTCATCCTGCTTAGCCGCTTGCCCGCCCACTAAGCTCTTCGCAAAACACTCGGTCCTTTGCGTGTTTTCCAGCAACCCAATTGAAGCTGATTAGTTTTTCTTGGCCCGCTTGATAGGACTAGGGAGCCCTAGGGAGCCTTAGGGAAGCTTAGGGAAGCTTAGGGAAGCTTAGGGAAGCTTAGGGAAGCCTAGGGAAGGGGGAGCCTTAGGGAAGCTTAGGGAATAGAGTTAATTGAGGGGTTCCGAAAAACCCCGGTAAACCCTGTACTTGGGGCTCACTTTGGGGAACTCACTTTGAAAAGCCCTGGTGCCAACGACCTTAAATCTTGGAAGGCTGGGGAGCTTAAGGGAGGCTAAGAATCTTTTAGGGGCCTTTAGGGGTCCTTGGGGAGGGAGCGCTCGGGCTTGCTAAGGAGCTCTTAGGAAGTGCTAGGGAGTCTTGGGGGTTAAAAATTACCACCCCACTAACGCCCCCCTCCCTTAAAAACTCCACAAGAAGATGATCAAGTCATATCCAAAGCAACATAGCACCTAGGGATACTTAAGTCGTTGCTTAACACGAACAAAGAACACAATCGCTCTCCTGCCCCGGCCAACCCGTCCAAGCACCAAGCACCAAGCTCACGGCCCAACCCCAAACGGTCTGGCAGGAACATCGTCACGGGCTCCGCGGATCATAGCCTGAAGATGTGGAACTTCTACGGGAATGTGCTGCGAACCTACTCGGGTCATGCCTCGGAAGTGCTGCGTCTCGGATACAACATGGTAACAATGATAAAATAAATCAATAAAAACGAAGCAAGTGCTCGAAGGTCCCTTTGGCTTATTGGGTGAAAGTGAATTGGTCTGTGTGTGTGCGCGTGTCTTTGCGTTTCTGTTTGTGTGTATGTGTTTCTGTTGTGTGTGTTGGTGTTTGTTTTCGAGGGCAACTACACTTTTGGGTTGCCTTCTCAAGGGACACCTGCTGAACAAACGGAAGCCATTTTCGGCGTCTCATGTTGCATAAACCCGGTGTTTGGGGCGGTTGCTCAAGGGCTTGGCTTGCAACTTGCTGTTGGCGTATCCTGGCGGTTTTCTTGTCAGGGCTGTCAGGGCTTGTCAGTTCGCCGGTTGCTCGTTGCGTTTGTGTGTGTGTGTTTGTGCGTAAGTGCGTGTGTTTGTTTGTTTGTGTTTGTGTGTGTTTGTGCGTGGGTTGGTGGGTGGGTTGGTGGGTGGGTTGGCGGGCGGGTGGGTGGCTGGGTGGGTGGGTGTGTTTTTGTGTGTTCATGCGTTTGTGTCACGTGTTCATGCAGGCAACTTTGTTGTCCGCCGAACTTCAATCAGGCTCAGATGGCCATGGATTGTAGTGGGCGGGGCCTTCGCAACTGGTTGGTTGGCACAAATGTAAACTTGGTGGCTCCCAGCCATCCCCTTAGCTTGTTAGCCTATTAGTGTTTAGTGGTAGTCTTCATTTAGCCAACTAAAAGTTAAGCTTTTAGCGGGGATCTGAGGGCAGCCCAGGTTAAAGATCACCCTAAAACCAGACTTCGGCTGGGATCGATTCTGATATTAAACAGCTGGACACCTGCCGCTTGCTCAATGTGTCATCCAAGCATGCTCCCAAAGCATGAGCAGAAGTATTATATATTTGTTTAGATTCAGAAGGGGAGTGTTATTCTTGAAGGCGGGTACCCTGCGCTTTGTGTTAAAGTCTGTATGAACACGTGTATCAATCTCTGGTATGAACCCCTAGTCTATTTGTTCATGAACCCGCAATTCTGCCTTAACTATGGGAAGCCACCAAAAGAGCCCACCACACTCCCCACGGGTTGAAAAACAGCCTCCATACAATCAGCCTTTGGACTTGACAATTCAAAATGAATCCCGGTTTTCCTTTGAACCACCATTTAGCTCGGCGAATGTGGCGCATGTCACTTTAGTAAGCTTGTTTCGGTTTCGGTTCAAGGGACGTGCTCCTTGCTTCAGCCAAGTACAAAAATGAGAGGCCCAAAATTTTCGAGCCCCATGAACTCACGTGGCGCCTTTGAAAGCGAAAAAAAGAGGCGCTGCTCCGCCTGTTCCCCTTCTTTCAGCCAAAATACATGAGAGCACCCCCAGTTTCGCCCTTTCCCTGGCGCCTTTGAAAGGGGAACTCCAAAAAACACACGGGTCTCTCCATGTTTGTGTTCCTCGAAAAAAGAAATCCACACATGTTCTCCGTATTGTTGTTTCCTCGAAAAAAGAAGAAGAAAAACAACCACACAGACATGTTCTCCGTGTTTTTGTTTCCTCGGGGGGAAAAAAAGAAGAAAAAATAAGAAGAAAAAAAACGACCACAGATGTTCCCCCGAGTTTTTTTTTCTCGAAAGACCAAACACGCCCAGGGAGTTGTTTGAGGTCGGTGGATGTGGACTGGAAGAACCACCGCATGCTCAGCGGGTCCCTGGGCTCGGATCTGAAGATCTGGCGCCTGGACAACTCCGCGCCTTTGCGCGGCTGGCGGGGCTCCAGCGCCTCGGCAGCGAGCGCGAGTGGAGCGACTCGCCGCCTTCGGCTCGCTTCGGAAGGTGGAGGTTCCGAGAAAACAGGGGGTCCTTTTTGACGCCTTGGGTGCAAAAATGATCGACCCCCTTGTAGTGAAGCCTTCCTTGTTGAGGGGGTCGCCCATTTTTCTCACAAAAGGTGGCAAAAAGATCCCCCTGCGAGAAAAGCGGGCAGGGAAGGACAGCTAGGCAGCCTTTTACCATGTCTTTTTTGGTTGGGAGGGATCCCCTACTAAAATAGACTATGGAGAAAACAAGTTGGTCCCCTTATTCTAACCTCTCTACTGGAGGACCTAGAGTTGGACGTCCGAGAAAAACGAGCAGGGAATGAGACATGGAAGGACTCCTAAAGCATCCCTCCGAGTTGGTTGCCTAGGGCAAATCTCCCTATGTTCATTCCCAAGACCCTTGGTCATTCCCTATCGTGAAACCAACACCCCTGTAAACAAAAAGGGGAGGATAGATCACTGAGAAAGACAAATCAATCCGTCAACATTCGAAATAGAACCTAAACTAGCACCCTGCGACTACGCCCACTGGGCGGCAGGTGAGAAAAGGGGAAGGATGACAAACTTGCTGGTTTAAGAGGCAGGCTTTGTGAGATCTGGAATGACCCCCAAGAAAACCATCCATGCCATTTGATTTGGTTCCTTTATTCAGGAACCCCCAAAACCTTTCGGTTCACCACCAAGAAGGTGATTCCCTACTGAGCACCAGCAACAAGCGATGGTCTCCAACCCCAGCAAGGAAGAGGTAGCATCTAATCTAAGATCCAAACAAAAAGCAAGATGATGCCTGGCTGGGTTAATGTTTGGTAGAAGCATGTTTGCCCCCCCCCCCGTGGTAGAAAAAGAAGAGAATCTGAAGCTTGGGCAGGCTGGAAGGTCTATCATGGTGTCGTCGTGCATTATGTGTACAACGATGTGTACCTTTTAAGAAGACATGTGTTTTACATGTCCTGCCTTCTGTGGGGCTTGTATGGGTTCTATTTTTGATAACTAGCACATGTAGAGCACGCACTTGCGTTGCAAACACATCATGTTTTTTCAAAAACAAACCGCAACCTTGAGGTGGAGGGCGGGTCCCTTCCTTTAATCCAGCGTTGCTCCAACTTTTGGTAGCTATGCTTTCCAACCCCTAGACGGGAAGCTACCGGGTACCGGGAACATGGGATATACAACTGCCCGTTACAAAACTGTGATCCCAGTCCCTGTTTTCCCCCAAAGTGGTTTGGGGCTAGAAAACCGTCTTACAGCTGGGCTTGCACCATTTCTTGGGAGTTCACCTATTGAAAGCCCAGAGCCGAGAAACCTGCGACGGCTTTTGGGGCAGACATATCAGCGCATCGCAACAACGTGCCAGATTCAATAACTTTGTCCTTTGTCAGGAGTTTTTGATGCTTGCACGGTCGTAGCATCATGATCTTTACAGTGTCCTTTTGATCGGTTAGGATGGTCAACAATGAATTGCACTGGTTTACATGGGGTTTGTAAACCATTTCCAAGGAAACCCATCGATTTTTCCAAAAGGCCAGCTTGCAGCGCCCATGAGCCAGGTTATGCGTGCGAACCGAAGCCAACCGAATGGTGCTACGTTGGTGCTTGAAAGACATGGGTTTGGTGGCGCTTTCTCTGACACCACTGGTTTTTGTTTCTAAGAAGTCCGAGAAACACTCATGCAGTGCAGCATTCCAATTTCAATGGTGAAAAACATGTTCTATGCAGAGCAATAAGCGGTAATTATTCTTTCGGAATGCTCTGAGCCATGTGTTAGAAACCTTGCCTTGAATGGGTGGCACATAACGTGTCTGATTTGGGAAAACAATACGGGATGGGGTCCCCCCCCCTCCCCCCCGACCCCCGTGTCAGCCGAGCTACTGTAGAAAAGCGATGTGCTTTTCGGATATTTAGATGATAGCCCTCGCCAATGGCCAGAATCCGACAGGCAGACTGGGGAACCCACGTTGGTTGGTCTCATGATTTTCAGTTTCGGGTGGGGATGAAGCCGGCCTGAAAAGGAGTCGACTGGAAAGCCCTGAAAGACGTGCAAAGTGTGACCTTATCACTAGTCAACCCATGCCATATTTGCCATCTGGTTTCCTCCAGGTGGGTCAAATGTTGCTATATATATATATATCTATATATATACATATATGTTCATATTACATTTAAAAATAATATAATAATAAAAATATGCATTTGTTTGCAGGGACAAACCTTTTGGTTGCCTCTCCAGTGCATGATTTGCTCATCTAGAACTGGAAGGAAAGATCTATCAACTAGGACTAGGACCAAATATGGCTAGAACCAAGAATCTTTGCTCGGACTAAAACCAAACAAGGACTAGACGATCCAGCTCTGCTTCTTATAATAGCTGAATTTCAGGTAGAATTTCCTCTGTCATGTCCTTTAATCTGCCTAAATAGTTCAGTAAACTAGGACCAGCCTGGCACTAGAACCAAGGATCTCTCAACTAGGACCAAACTAGGACTAGACTATTCAACGCTACTTCTTATAGTATTTGGATGTCAAGTATTACATTCTATTGGAAAGACAGTCTTGCGCGGCCTTTGGATTGAAATAGAACAGTCAATAGTTAAGTTCCAATTTACTATCTAAATTATGGCTAATTGTGTTAAATTTATCCTTAACTTCAGTTAGAAGATAGAACTTGATAAACATACCAGTAGAGCCGGCGAAGCCGGTGGACGGAAGTTTCTAAAGCGAGAAGAGTGCCTATAGGAAGAGCTTGGCTTGTTGTTGTTTTTGGTTGCGCTCTTTCTTTGTCTCTTTATGTGTCTTTCTTTCTTCTATCTATCTATCTATCTATCCATCTATTTATCTATCTATCTATCTATCTATCTATCTATCTATCTATCTATCTATCTATCTATTTTCACCTGACCTTGCGAAAGTGCTGCGCCTGCCACGAAATCTGTACTTGACCTTGCAAAAGTGCTGCGCCTGCCACGAAATCTGGACTTGACCTTGCGAAAGTGCTGCGCCTGCCTTACTCGACCTTGCGAAAGTGCTGCGCCTGCCACGAAATCTGTACTCGACCTTACGAAAGTGCTGTGCCTGCCACGAAATCTGTACTCGACCTTGCTGATCTATTTATCTATCCTTTCTATCTATCCATCTATCTTTCTATCTATCTATGTATCTACCACCTGACCTTGCAAAAGTGCTGCACCTGCCACAAAATCTGTACTCGACCTTGCGAAAATGCTGCCCCTGGCACGAAATCTGTACTTGACCTTGCACGGGCACAAAACGCTGCGCCTGCCACGAAATCTGCACCTCAGATTGCCAAAGTGCTGCGCTTGCCACGCAAAATAGACCTCCGAACACGTCTGCGCGAGCATTGCAGCGGGCAACATTCCGAAACCGTGGCGAACCCGCACGCAGAACAGAGGTACCCTTTGCCATTCTCCGTGCTGACTGACTTCACACCTGCGTGCGTCCGCATCTTGCGATTCAACTTTTCGTATTACGGAAGTTTAGTAACTTCCTTTGATTACGGAAGTTTTCTTACTAAACTTCCTTTCATTAAATACCTGCATCTCTTGAAAGTTAATAATTCCCACTCCAAAAAGAAAAAAGTACTTTCTTCCATGCTGGAGTGATAATTTTCACTCCGTGTTAAAATGCCCGTTCGGGTAGTTCCGACTGCTCAGGCATCCGTTCGGACCCGTTCGGAACCCGTTCGAAACCCGTTCGAAACCCGTTCGATCCCGTTCGAACCCGTTCGTACCCGTTCGGACCCGTTCGGACCCGTTCGGAGGTACGTAAAAAATACGCCAACATTACGCAATAAGCCTTTGATAATTTATGTGCAGTGCTGATTTATGAACACTTCGATGGTAGTGAAAATATCCGTTCAAGAGTTGAAATACCCGTTCGAAAGTGGAAATACCCGTGTCCTCAGGCCAAAAAGTACTTTTTCAATTTTGGAGTAGGAATTATTAACTTTATAGAATTCATAAGGAACGTCCATGTCCTTTTTTGTTTTTTTCCGAATTGTTCAGTAACTCGGACCATACTAGGCCTCGAACCAAGGATCTCCCATCTAGGACTCGGACCAAACTAGGACTAGATTATTTAACTCTAGTTCTTGTAGCGTTTGAGAGTACATTCTATTGGACAGGACACCTGGTGCCGAGCATTTAAGTTTAATTTCAATCAAAGCTATGACTGGAGTGTGTCGTTCTCGATTGAATTTCGATTAGAATTTGGATACAATGTTATACACATATTCAGCAAATTTCATAAGGAAAGAATTCTCAGAGGCACTACCATGGTCAGAAAACACCGTCAAGCACAGTGGTTTGTAGCTTTTTTCATACTCAATTCACATCTCCCACCAACGACCGCTCTCTAAATGTTCATTTGCGTTTGACAGGATTTGATTGGGACTCAATACAGAAATACTTGCTCGAAATCCTGCTGGAAATTACGTCTGAAAATTAGAATTCAAATAGATTTCCTTTCCCTAAATATTATTGCAAGTCAATCAGAGCTTAGACATAGTTTGATAATGAAAGAATCCAAGCCTGTATTTATGACTCAAGGTTCAACAATTCCCTAGACAAGTCTTCTCTGCAAACCCGAGTCCAGGCCCCGAGTGAAACCGTTTGAAGCCGACTGAAATTTCAGCCAAGCCAATCTCGAATACTGTAATACTGTGGATGGACAAACTTCTGCACCACCTAAGAAACCCGGAAAAATGATTCCCCTCTAAATGCCAACGAACAATGGCTTCTCATTTCAAAGTTCCAGGATTTCGTCCATCCACAGTATGGGCCTAGATTGAAGCAGATTGAATCAGGACTTGGAGGAATTGGACGCCAAAGCACACCGCTCAGCCAAAGCACAGTTGCGCAAAGTGCAATGTTGAATCTGGGTCTCGATTTTTAAATCTGAGTCTAAAGCAGGCCTGGGTTCAATAATCAAGAATCAAGTATCCAGGCAAAACTTTTCCAGCGAAACTTGAATCCAGGGCTCGATTTAAACCGATTTAAACCGATTTAAACAAAAATCGGACCTGGAAAAGTTTGGCCTGGGAAATGGGTCAAATGTTGCTATACATAATACATATACATATATATATACACATATACATATCACCTACATGGATTGTGTGGGTCTTTTTGGGGATCCAGATTCTCCACGACCGGGGTGCCCCCAAGTATTCCTATGTCTGAAATGGTCGAGCCAACGTTTAGGACATGCCCCTTTTGCGGATAGCAAACGAGCTGATCGTTTGAATCCGGGGACCTCAGAGGACTCCTATGGCACAATTCCCTAGGATAGCCGCGCCGTTTGTTGCATCATCCCAAATTAACAACCATATTTGGCAGATGTTTGAAAAGCATACATGTTTGCCCACCTAAAATTTTTGAAGTTGACAATCAGCCATTTCCGTGATCAAACCTTAAAGCCAGGCTCCGGTGGCATCGCCTGCATGAATGTGAGCTGGCGCATGTTCAAGGCGGTGTTCGGCTGTGGAAACAACTTGGAAGTGTGCTTTGGCTCCGGAGAAATGTCTCGAGCGCCGTTGGGCAAGTGCCACAGGAGACCCCCGTACGCTGTGTGTTTTGCGGTCCCTTTCATCCAACCTTGAAAAGGGTACCCAACAACATGAACACCTGCTAGTTGGCCCCTCTGTAAGAATGAATAAAAATCGGAACTCTCGCATCAAGCGCGTGGCGCTGGGTAGAACGGGGTTTCCAAATATGTGCAACCTGATTGCAAGGGCACGGTAGATGTCCAACTAGGACACAGCTGCCAAAGACCCGGAATGTAGCTGCTGAAATTCTCGATCATATACGTGAGTCGCACTGCCCCAACTTGGTGGCTGCTAGCCATCCGGTTCCTTAGCTTTTTAGATCCTTTTTGTGTTTAGTGGTAGTTTCCGAATTAAATTCGGGGGATCTGAGGGCAGCCCAGCCAAGAGGGACCAGAGTGATACATCCGGGACCCCAGTCACGAGAATTGCGATGCTTTTCAAGAAGTCATGAGCATGAAGCGTATTCGCTGGATGGGGAAGTAAAAAGAGCCCAAAAAGGGATGATTTATTTATCTACCCCAAAGCATGCTTTGTGAAGTATACTTCGATGGGGGAACTGCAAAGCATTCACCCTCCTGTTGTCAAAAGGTAATAAATCATGTGCATCTCATCCGGCATGACATGGCCTTTGGCTACCCTTTTGTTGAGGCTCGGTACATTTGTTGTGGGATTGCGTCGGATAAGCGAAGGCAACCAGAGCCTTTCCCATTTTGGGGTTTCCTGAGCTGACCCACTTTAGGCCCTGATGATGCCTCAGTAGCATGTTAATTATATGGACCAGACTCAACATGTGTGGGTAGGCCGTTAGCTGAGATAGGCTTATGTGATGTATCCATTATATATATAAATATACACATACATGTAGGACATGTATGTGTGTCTTTATTGATTTAAGGTTTTGTGTATTTGTGTGTTTATGTGGTTTGTCTATTTATGTATTTATGTATTTTTCCCGAAAGCATTGCGAAGGGTTCTTCCGTGCGGAGCTCTTGGTCAACTTGCGCAGAGTAGCTTGCACAGAGTCACCAACATGGAGATACCTGCATGGAGATACTCGCGCAGAGTTACTAGCACAGAGTAGCTTGCACAGAGTTACCAGCATGGAGATACTTGCACAGAGTCACCAGCATGGAGATGCCAGCATGGAGATACTTGCACAGAGTCACCAGCATGGAGATACTTGCACAGAGTCACCAGCATTCTTGCGCAGAGCCAAGTGCAAAGAGCCAAGCGCATAGAGCCAAGTGCTCAGAGCGAAGTGCAAAGAGCTAAGTGCACAGAGCCAAGTGCACAGAGCTAAGTGCACAGAGCCAAGTGCAAAGAGCGGAGTGCATAGAGCTAGGTGCATAGAGCTAAGCTAAGCTAGGTGTAGAGGCTCGGCGTTAGCAGCTGTGTAAGCTAGGTTAAGTAAGTTAGGTTAAGTACTTAACGCGCGGGAAAGAAAGAGAAAGAGCTCTCTTTCTTGGCGGGGGTGGGGATGTTGCCGACAATCGGGAATGCGACCCTCTGGGGATCGGCAAAAACTCGAGTTTGTTTTTTCGGCGCCCGCGCGACCCTCTGCGGGGATCAGCGTGGTCGAGGTGCAAAAACTCAAGGTTCTTTGCGTTTTTTGCGGTGCCCGCGCGACCCTCTGCGGGGATCGGCGTGGTCGAGGTATGCTATTTCGTCAGGTCTGTTAAAGGCATGCGGAGCCCGATTTCCTTAATTGAAAATGGCTACATGGTTTAGGGACAATAGTTTGAGTGCTAGAATCAACCCGAAGCTGTTTCCAAAAAAACAACTCGACGGCTCTTGAAATGACAAAGTCGAAGAGAGGGTCCCCTACCTTACACTGTGGGGCTGGGCCATGTAACAAGGAACCAAGGGAACCTTAGGGTATAGGGAGTCCATTTCTGTAAACTGCAGTCCGTCGGCAACCATTTTGCTCCAATTCGAACTGCGGCTCAAGGTTTGTCAAAACTCAGCATGTCTGACACTGATTGAACAGAACACGAGGAAACCAGTTGCATTAACATTATATAACGCTTCAACACAAAACAGTTTGTCAGCCATACGCGCGGCGATCATCAATCACCTGGATCTATGGAATGGTCAGTGACAAGAAGCAGCAGAAGCCTTGGACTTAGCCGTGGCATTCTTCGGCTTTGCGCTCGCCTTGACTTTGCTTTTAGCCTTGGCCCTGGGCTTAGCCGGCGGGGCCTTGGCCTTGGCCACTGCCCCAGCATTGGAAGTAGAAAGCCCCATGAGCGATTGCAAAATTGGGGGCGCCGGGGCCGGGACAGGGGCCGCTTTGGGATTGACCCTGCTGCCCATCATCTCACCGCGAAGGAGCGCCAACTCAATCTCCTCGTCCTGACCCTCATTCTTCTCATGTGTGGTGGTAGGTTCGGTTGCCACTGCCATTGGCTGCGCTAGGTTCTGATGGTGCTGGGAGATAGCCGAAGTAGTAGAAGGAGAGTTCTGGCTACTTTCACGTAACTCTCGAAGCTCTTGCAACATCTTCTCTCCCTCAGGGTTGTGATTGATTCGCACCGTCTCTTCCACCTGAGCATGGGTCAGAATGGAAACAAATCTGTCAAATTCCACAGCTCCACTACTGTGAGTAGACTGATTTATTAGGGTATTGGCATGGCTTGCCCGGCAACAAACTCCATAGACAAAGTACAGCTAGAGCCCTGACGCCTGCTCACGAAAATGGCCAATGTAGATTAGTTAAGGCTGACTGAAACTGCGTTATTTTCCTTATTGCTGATGAAGGAGAAAGTCCTTGCTTTTGGGGAAAACTAAGCCAGAGGGGTGCTTCAAATGTAAAGAGGCTCGCCGCTCGCCTAACGCGCGAGGCTTTCATTTCAATCAACCAATGCCATTTGCCGATGAATAAAACCCGGCGCCTGCGTGTCAGACTTGCCGAGGTCATTGCTGGACACCTCAGCACCGGCAGCGGCGGCCACAACCGGCTGTGCCTGGAGCTCAATGGCGCAGTCAGCGGGGCTGCCTGTCTTGCCCGGCACGGCCTCTGCAACCTCTCCGTCAGATTCACAAACCTCCTTAGGGCAACAGGGCAACCGGGGGCAATTGCAATGTAGAAGTAGAATTAAGGCCACAAGGTAGCAGGGCAACACCCGTTTGTCCAAAAAGGTGGCCAGTCAGCGACGGGCTGGTAAAAGGATGAAGGTCCCTGTCATACACACACAAACATATATTGCCGTTGATAATTTTTTCCAAGAGCGACTGACTAAGGAATTTCCCTGAAGGAATGTGTTTTGCTCCGTGATGACCAAAAGCATCTGATTCGAACGATTCGAAGACTTGAAGCCATCAAAACAACCTAAAGTACTAAAGTCCACGCAAGAGGCAAAAGATGGTAAAACACACAATGAAATCAAGCTAGTGGCTGGAAATTTCTGCAGTTGCTCCTCCAATTCCTCCTCAAGGGTTTTTTCAGCCGGCCCGCCCTCAAGCAAAAACGCTTGGGCAGGAACGGTTGGGCTGGCTGGGGGTAGAGACTCCTGTTGGGCTGCGGCTTGGGCGTCAGTGGCTTTCACTGGGGGTTCCGGCTCCGGCGGCTCTGGTTCTGCAGCTGCACCTGCCTTGACTGGGACCAGGGTCTGGGGCAAAGGAGCGTTATCCTGCCTTGCGGTAGAGGGAGTTGGTGAAGAAGCGGTCTTGTCCAAGGAAGCGGCCGCTGCGGTCGCCCCTGTTCCTGCCATTGGAGTTGGCGACGGCGACGGGGCCGGCGCCGCCACCTCCGCCTTCGGGCCGGTCATGGGCAAGGTGAGCAAGGGAGCTTCCTCTGCCACTGCCTTCTCCCCAGCAGCCAACGCTGCATCCGCAGCCGGGGCCGCAGCCTCGGCCTCGGACTTGGGCAAGGAAGCGTCCACTTCGTGAGCTCGTGCATCTTGGTCTTGAGTTGGACCCGCGCGGCTCGCGCGGCGTGACTTCTTCTGTTTCTTGTTGGCTGGGGGCGCCTCTGGCTCTGCTCGCTCGACAGAATCGTTGGCAGCCACAGAAGCTCTCTTGCTGTGTTTTCCCGCCGGTGGGTGCAGCTTGTCAGGATTGCCGCTGTTTTCAACGCGAGGGGGAGCGGTGGCAACAGTGGCATCACCAGAAACGGGCGGCGGACTTCGGCTGCTGACGCTCTTGGCCCACTTGATGATTTCCGACGCAAGCTCCGTCCAATGCTTCTTTGTTGGCGCCTTTCGTTGTCTCCTCCGCCAAGTCGCACTTGACTAGTTTCCACGCCAGATCCGCTTGGGTCTTGACGTCATTGCAGTGTGGAGCCCCCTCTCGCGGCGGCAATGGCAACATCGTGCTCCAGAAAGCAATGGTGTTGCTCCGGCTCAGCGGCGTTTCCGCCACAAGCATGCCACCTGGCACGTAGGCAACCTGCCCTGGACCAAGCACCAAGGTGAACCCGCCCAACTTTCTGACATTGTCCGGGGTGAGGTCAATAAGAGCCCGGCACATGCCGAGGTAGGAGCCTGCGCCACCCATGTTGTTCATCTGCAAGTAGTTGCGCAAGCGGAGCAGATCCGCCCCAGCGAGGAAGCGGAAGCCGTCTTTGCAAGCATACACCTTGGGCATGACCATTTGTGTGATGCCTCACGCCCAAGGCTCCAAGAGTCAGGGCACGTCAGGAAGGTTGGGCAAACTATCGAAAAAAAAGACTTGAGAGAGACGGGTTGCGTTGCTCCAGGTTCTGCTAAGAGCTACACTAAACAACCACAGTGGCACCAAAAAACGCCCGGCTGCCAACGTATTGGTAGCGGCTGAGCGCGCACTGCAGGCGAACCGCGAAGACCTTGCCAAGCGCGCCTTGGGCGGCGGCTGGGAACTGCTTCAGGAAGCTGTCTTTGTGGGCATCGAAATTGGCCGGCCCCCAGAACGACTGCTCAAGCAGCGCGAGCTCTGGCGACAAGGATGGGTCAATGGGCATCGGCACGTCTTCAAAGCA